AGTGGGATAACTGCGTCAATGGCCACTCACCATACTCTAAGGCTATTGAATGGTTTAGTCTAAAATCTATTATGGTTTATCATATGTTAATGTTGTTGGTCATCCCTTTCTTTTCTCAGAAATGTATTCAGCGTGATGCAGATTCTTTATAATCAAGATTCAAATAATTGAAACCCTTCAATACCTTAAGTATTTTATTATATGTACAGCACTTTGGCTCGACCAAAAATCACAGACACAGTGATACCACATGTTAAACACATTTATTAAATCCTTCCAGGGTACCTGATTGAAAACACACATACACACACATCTAATCTACCTCTAACTTTCTGTCCACCACACATCTTTTGCATAATTGTATCATATCAACAGGAAGAGCAGCAGGCAGGTAAAGAACATCCAAGGTTTCTTTGCATCAAACAGAAAATCTGAATTTCCAAGAAGAGAACTGTTATCTTAAAATAGGGAAAGACAGTCGTGGTCAAAGATGTTGATTTCATTTAATTCAGCATTTCACAGAACTCTGTGGAAGAGAAAAACAAATTCAGTCAGATATTTTTGTAACCACAACAATCATACCCAGGCAAAAAGTGAGAGTCATAAAACACATTCACGATGACTAAACAAACAAGTTATTTGGTGTATTCTTTGTAATGTTCTTGTATGTGCTACTTATAGACTGCAAGTTCAGCACTAGGTAATGGACAGCTCCCATGCACATACGGCTTCTTTGTCTGATGTGCTTTCTAAAGAGTTGTACATGCACCCACCTTCCATCCCAATCTTGCCATCACCATCCTTATCGCCTGCACTCATCAGAGTCTTGGTCTCAGACACAGTCAGCTCCCTCGCTCCCGGAGAGAAATTCTGGAGGAACAGTCTGTTGGGTGCACAATAAAACATAAGCCATACTTTCAGACTTATATCATCATAGACTGTACTTCTGCAATTTATTTTCCCCTCTAGGCTTTGCTGAGCCTTTTCAATCCCCCTCCTCTTAACTCATTCACTCACCGGCCCTCCCCCTCAGGTATTACTGAATGCATTCACTGGGAATGCCGCTCCATTCATACAGTGACCTCTGCCTTTGGGCAATCACCAGGGAGTGAAACATAGATGTAGAACACACGCACATACACTGTATCTTAACACTAGCCCTTAAATCACACACCCGCCCACACATATACCGACACATTATCCTTACTTGAGCTCCTCCTCCTCAATGTATCCACTCTTGTCTTGGTCCAGGACTATAAACACTTTTCTTCCCTCAGTCTCGGATGAGCCAGTTAGTCCTACTTGCTCAAAGAACGACTTGAAGTTAAATGTGCCCGGAGCTGCATATGCAAAAGAGACACACATATGTGGGAGTGAGAGGTCAATCACAGAATAGCAAGAAAGCAAGAGTGGTGAGGGACTGAATAGAAATGTCGCATTAACTCATACGGTAGGATGACTTTCATTCTTCAGCCAATGAAATGTACCAATAGACACCCTGTAGCGCATCACTGTCTTATACCATTACAGGCTATGTCATTGTGCCATCGGAGCAGTCAAAGCACACCGGATATGCCCATGGGTCTAATGAAAACCTAAAGGTTAAAAGCCCTTTATTTAACGAGCCGCTCAGAGTGGACATTTTAAGTACCCCTAACCTTAAGGTGATATGTCTACTATCATCACTTTCATAAAAGACCATTTAGTTTCCATCAATTCTTAAAATAGATCATGGAAATACCTCCTTTTATTGATACCTTGATGACCTTTTTACCTGTGCTGGACTATGGTGATTTGTTATATATGAATGCACCTGCCAATTACCTGAGCAAGATAGATGCTGCGTATCACAGTGCACTGAGATTTTTGACAAATTGTAAAGCACTTACGCATCACTGTACCCTGTATACCAAGGCGGTTATGCCATCACTTAGTGTACGGAGGCTCAGTCACTGGTACTTTTTCATTTACAAAGCCATGTTGGATAAACTACCATCTTATATCTGCTCCCTGATCTCTCTGAGAATTGAAAGTACTTATTGCCTGAGATCGCATGCTGTGGTTTTATTAAATGTGCCAAGTGCTAGGACTGTCTTAGGGAAGAAAGCTTTTAGATGTGCAGCTCCACTAACATGGAACAGTCTGCAAAAAGAATGGAAAATTACCAAGCTAGTACCACTACATGTTTTTAAAGCTCGGTTGGATGCTACACATTCAGATGCTGTTGGTACCTGTACATGTGGTTAAATATGTAAATTGTAATCCCTGTACATTTTGCTGTATGATGTCCTTTTATTGTTCTGTTGTTCATGTTTTTATGTCTTCTTGTGGAACCTACTGCTGCAGGTCTCCCTTGAAAAAGAGATCATTGATCTCAATGGGATTTTACCTGGATAAATAAAGGTTTTGAATTGAATTGAATTGAATACATGCAAACTAAATTGCATAAATTTACATTTGACTTTGCCTGGATCATTGCTAACGGGGTGATTCTCTTGATTAAAGGGCACAGGAGCACTGGCATTTGATTTCCTTCTGAGAGGTTGAGCTGTGTGTGCCTTGTCATGCAAACATAATTGTGAGAGATAAATGATTAAGTGCTTTGGGAGGTGGGGGCTGTATAGCTTGTGTGATTGTGTCCTCTCTGTGTAAATGCTAAACGTAAACACTGTGGTATCCGGCTGGTAACTGGTCTCCTGCCACAAGGCTGCCTGGTTACCTGCCCCCACTGTGGAAACCCATCAGCTCTTCCTAGTGGGACTGGGAGTGGGTTTAACATTTCCTGTCTGTATCTCTCTGCATGTGTGTGCATGTATATAAACACTTATTGTAAAGTATATGTGTTCTTGTATTCATCGGATGCACGTTAAGTGTGTGCCTCCCTCCATGTGAGCCTGTGTGTGTGTCGTCTGACTCACCTTGACAAGCCTGGATTGCCGCCTTGATGTCCTCGTTGCTCAGCATCCCTGTAAATGCCATGTTTCTCTGTAGCTGCCTCAGGGGTGCAAACAAACACGCACGATGGAGAAAATGCAAAGTGACAGTAAATGAGACTTGTGCAGGTGTTTACTGTTGTCAGAACACAGTCACATAAAACTTGTGGATGGATTAAGGATAATAATTCCTCTGTTGTTAGTCTTTAATACATCAAGTTTTATTAGTAGGGCTTATTACCAGAAGCTATTACTCAGACATATATTTCTTCACATGATAAGGTATAAATCACAAATGAATTGCCTGATGATCCAAGCTATGTTTCACAAAATGAATAAGAAAGTTGTTGCAACTTGAAGGAGAAAACACAAACAGGGCAAAGCCAACAAATCAATATGCAGAGACACATACGAAACTGTCACTTATCATTACTCAAACATTGTCGTGCACATGAATTTGCAAAAAAGCTTGGTACTCACCGTGCTTCGGGTTAGGTTTTAACGTTCTGATCCTAGGATGCACAGATTTCTGCTTCTCTTGCTTTGTGCGTGTAAGCCTGCAACACTCTCTTGCAGCTTTGTGATCCGGAGTGCAAGAAGCAACCTGACGTATCTGTCTTCAAACCCAGGGAGATTTCCCCCCACGCCACAGAAAGCCTCCTCCTCCTTCATCAGTTAATCAGAGCATATGATTTTTTACTCAAATTGTTGTGCAAACTTGCAGGCATAAAAAGTAGTTAAAAAAATGTATATTGCAATCGGATAACCCTTAATATGTGTATTTTTACTGGTGCAAATGTTTCATTTCTACTTTCTACTAAAACAGCTGTTATTAATTATCATATTCATAATGAAGTAATGATTGTTTCAGTCCATCAGATAACTGTGATAGTTATAAATCAGCTATGTTTATTTATTGTCATTATTAATTCTGTTATTTAAAAATAACTAAATGTAATAAAGACACTGTATAAACTCCAATGCAAGTGTCGATTGAAGGTCTTTCTTTATTTCCCCCCCTTTTTTTTTTTTGTGTTTCAATTCATTGTTCAGCCATTATAACCTTGAAGAACATTATTTTTAAGGAGATTTGGAGTGGGTTGAGAACCACTGCCAGAGGCAACTTTATTATGTTGTATCTATTAGGGCTTCTAAGAGGGAACTTTTGACCCGCTTTATTTTCAATGGGGGCATCCATTGGGGCCTGAGTACACATATGACTGTTAACCAGAGATGGGAAGTAACTAAGTACATTTACTCAAGTACTGCATAAATACAGCTTTGAGATAGCCTACTTGTACTTTACTTGAGTATTTACATTGAATTCACAAGCTACCCTGCAGTATTTAAGGGATTAAAAGCTGCACCTTTACAAGCTTTAATAACACATTAATGCATCAATAATTATAATCAAACAGGTAATATACGGTTTATTATTCTTAAATGGACCAATCTGCATAATGAGTACTTCTATTTTTTGGTACTTTAAGTATATTTTGATGCTAAAATGTGCCCTGTTTTCCCTACTCAACACCTTTCCATAGGAATAAAGACTTCCAGGAAGTGACTTTAGAGAAAGATGGAGTTGTCCAGTTGTGCTTTGCATTGAACATTGATTTACATTTGGAGCTAATAGGAGCTAGAGTTTGATTTCGTTTTTTTGCTGTCGGTGTTTGCTAATGTTAGCCTACCCAGTGAATCTAACTCCCACCAATAGTCGTATGAAATCACTAGAAGTCAATTGGATACAAAAAATCCTCAAGAAATAGCACAGCAGAATCCAAATTCTCTGTCCACCTATTACATTCTGCTTAGCAGCTTATGGTAAACAAAAAATAAACATGTATTATAGACAGGTCCTCTGAACCATTCTTCCGTGCCTCACATGGTTGGCAAGTGACTGGATGTAAAAAGCTTTCTTCAGTTTTGATAAAAAGCACTGGATTAACATGACAGATAATAAAGCTCGAAGCCGATTGGCTCTGTGTGTTATACAGGAAGGTATTCTTTGTTTTGATTGGTTTGATTACGTGTCAGTTATTTTAGGGATTTACGCCCCGTTCCGTGATGTGACGCCGTACAGGAACATGGCGCTTTGGAAGGGAGCTGTTTCATGATAGTCAGAGCGATTGATCCATTTTATTTAGTTATGTTAATTTATATAACAGCCAGGTAAATAAACCAAATATGTTAGGCCGTGAAAGGTGATCGCTCCTTGTGTCTCCATGGACAACGAAACACTAGGTTTGGTAGCGTTGTGTGCTGTCGTCAGCTGAAACTGTTAGCATTGATATGCTATCTAAAGCTAGTTAGCTGGCTAATGTTAAGTAGCTAGCGTTAAATATGCTTGTTTACGTAGCCTACACTGACTTTAAACTGATTATCAATGGTTAAAACACGTTATTTATTATCAGATCAGCCATTTATTGTTTAGGACGACGATTCCGATTAGCTAACATTTCGTTAGCTAAACTAGGAGGATGAAGAGCCGCCATGGATATGTTTTGTTTCTGGCCAGTGGGATTTTCCTGTCGGTGTTTTGGTTGTCTGAAGGTGCCCCTCTTCAGTATCAACACAACTCAGGTGAGACAGCTGACTGTAAGGTGATACACAGCTGAGTGATTGTCTGTTCACTCATCACAATTCCTTTCCATCCAGCTGCTTAGCTAGCAGATGTTTCTGTTAGCTATATGCTGGCTGTGGTTGCTATTCGGCAGCTACAAGCTAACAACACACCAGACTGGTTGCATTTCCTGCTAACAAGTGACATCCAATATGTGGACTCGTACTGACTGACTGTTGTGTGTTTGATGACATATTGACAACATATCAATTTGCTCTGTATATATGCACGAGGGAATCTTATAATAATTAAAAATATGTGCTCGTAACGATTCTGATTAAACCAAACTGTTGAACAGAATCGATAAACCTTTCCTCTACCAGGACACAGACATGATTTATTAACATAATTTTAGGGATTTCTTGTTGAAATGTAACCCAACTTCATTATCCTTCAGGTAGCAGCGGTGTGTCTGAGTTAATATAGTACAGCTTATTGTAACTGCAGGTTCAGAAATGTTAATCTGTCTGTGGGGTTGGTCCAGTCATTGACATTCAACCAAGTTTATGGGACAATACACTGCCCTACCAGCATGGAAACACAGTTTATTGTTATGAAGTTAACCTTGAATAACCTCTTTTAAATGGATTATAGTTTCCTCATTACAGGTTGTGTACCATGTGTGATGATCGTTTAATTATTTTAGGATGAATCAAAGTGTATTCATAAAAGACAACAGTTTATTATACTGTCATATGGCAGTGTGATAAAACACTTTATATGTTGATAAAGAGACGGTTGTTCAGGAGAGAATGAAAGAATCAGCAATTGACAGTATGAAAACAATTCAAATCAAGCTGTTTTTACTTAGGATACTATGTGAGGTGACTATTTTGTTTTCATTTGGTTTCATTCATTTCACTACACACTAAATGTAATGCTCCAGACACAATTAGGTATTCAGTTTCGCTATCAAATTCCAAAACAATCACTTGTTGCATCTCCAATGTAATGGGTGCCATACATTCACTTCAAGACAAGGAAATGGTTTCAGGGTTTTTACTCAGAGGCTCAGTCAACCTGCTTCCTTATGAGAATGAATGCAGACGTGAGCATGTTGTGAGGGTCGGTAATGTGTAACTGTAATACATTCCAGTCTTATCAACACCAGTCAATGATTAGCAACAGTGTTGTTTGACTAGAATACTGCAGCTTACTGGAAAGTTATGTTATGCGCATGCCTTTTATGCTTTTATTGCACAGCAACCTGCTCTTTGCCCTGCATGCATTTAGATATGGTACAGTCATTCAATATTTTAAAGTTTTACTTGAGGCTATGAATTTAGGTAAGATCACACTAAAATAATAATAATAGTAATCACTATAGCTGGAAAGTCACATACAAAGTCTTCAAGTGATGTGGGCTTTGTTTACACACATCACACACGGGTAAACATAGGTAGGTCAATGTTTTATCTGTAGTAACAGCCCGGTGATGTCAGGTGGCCTGTTAGTCAAGTTGGACATTTGCCCTAAACTTCCACCACGTTGCTGAGTGAATGAGTGTTTTCTAAACCAGGCTAGAGAGGATGCGGCTTTAACAACAATTTAAACAAAGTCATTTTCATATTTGGGTACTCGCAAAAAAAAGTGTTTACCATCAAACTAGTTGTTCTATGATACGCAGGTTCAATTTCACATAGTTGAATTGTACAGTCATTTATTTTTGAAGTATTTTAACGCATTACTCTTTTGCCTGCTTGCCATTTGCGTTTTAACGTTAAATTGAATCATGTCTAACGGAAAACATTGGATGTTGTATTTTCTGCACTGATCTAGTATCTTTAAAAAAAAAGGGATTACTCTATATGGTGAACAAATAGACTACTCATGAACTCTTTCCCATACCTAATGTCTAACCAGTGACGTGCGGTGAGGTTCATGGCTGGTGAGGCACTGACTCTTTCAGAGTCAGATTTACAAATATTATATTTTGACCTTAATCGAAATATTCGGTTATTTTCAAAAGCTTTTTTGGTCTGATGCTTCGATTCATTTTAAACAGACCGTTCAACAAAAGGATACCCAACATCTAAATATTGGATTGTTCTTTCTTAGTAAGATTCCATTTTCATTACCAATGGTGGTCTTACCGTGACTTGAAGATGAAGTCCATGCTATCCTTCTGGACAACAATCTCTATTACTTTTTTGTAAAAGTCCTCCTTATCTTCCTCTAGTTTCAAAAGTCTAGTTTGTTGTTCGCGTCTATACCGTCTCTGCGTAGAATAACAGTAGCAACAAGAACCTGTGGCCTCACTTGCGCCCCCTTCAGTGCGGCAGAGGTTATGGCTGCCTCTCCTGGTGCTTTTTTCATTGCCGTTGTACGGCGAGCCTAAATATCATATACGTGAAATAAGTTATTTAGAGACTATGGATGGCGAGGATAAATGTAATAAAGGGATCTACAAACATTACATTGGTGACCTACGGTGAGATGGTGCAGGCATGCGCTTAGGGCTCACTTTCCAGCCAGTTTCTGTGGGGTGACGCATTCTCAGGTGAGGCAGATCTCATTTGTGCCTCACCTCACCACACAGTAACTGGCTTGAGCGCGCTCACAAAATAAGTGCCCGCGCTAAATTAGTGCCCGCGCTCCAGCCAGTTACTGTGGGTTTACGTGAGGCAGAGCTCGTCCCTGCCTCACTTCTCATCGCTCCCATGTAGTTGAAGCGGAGCTCGGCTGATTTTGACTATAACAAGCGATTGGAATCATACATAAATCACATTTACAACACAGATCAGTGGAGACATTTTATTATTATTACTATTTAGTTTTTCTCTAGTTGTTTTTCCGTTACATTGGAGTATGAGTATGTCAGGTGAGGCTCTGCCTCCCCTGACTGCACGTCGCTGTGTCTAACAGTCTTTTAAAGTGTTGTTTTTTCATTAACAGAAACATGTTGCTAATTTGTCGTTGAAAATCACAGAAGGCAATGATGCAAATATTTGTCCTTGTAAGGGGCCGCAGCCATCGGTATTTGCTCTTCAATTGAACTATGAGTTTAAAGGTCCCCTATTATACTGTTTGGCTAATGGTTGCACAAGCAAGAAAATCAGCTCATTTTCATGGACAAAAAGGGAGCGAATCATATTTCCTGAAACTTTCAGAATCTCTTTCCACAGAGGGGACACATGTTTATATAAAAGACTTGAAAAAGTGGATTTTGCACAATAGGTGACCTTTAAGTGCTTCCCGTTATAGCCACTACATACATCTTAGCAGAATTCCAACATAACTGCAGGGCTATCCATCCCCCTTCTTGAACAACACTGGTGGGTGAAATCTGCAAAAATGGGTCAGCTCCTCCTCTGCGTGAATCCCTGCCTACTGAAATATTCAGTGGAATTGAAATAAGACCTGGCAGCTCCCTGCCGTATTTGTCCCAAAAACCAGTTGGGTCATTTTGTGGAGCCTGCCAAGTCATAATATGAACCCATGACTCAGATAAGGCCTAACCGAGTATAACTGATCACATGTAGAGCTGCCGTGATCCAGCTCCTGGTCTTTCTGTCTGACTGCAGCTCCAGCCTCTGAGTCCTGCAGCTCGGCTCAAACAGACGGGGGCTGCTTGTACAAAAAAAAGCTGCCTGCAATTACAGCCAAGCGTTTTTCACAGGATTGTTGTGAAGTTAAGCTTTAATAAAGCCAATTGGAATTCCCTCTGAACGCCTGCTCCTGCCAACGACAGATTCTCATTTTGTAAGCTATAATTGAAGACGGAGGAAATGTTTCGTGAAAAATAGGCAAATTAGATATTTTGGATCAGACTGGAACAGGGCTATTATATTTTGGTTTAGCTCACTCTTGGATTCATGATGTTGGAAATCCTTGCTAGTATACAATTATGAAACCAATGCATTTTATATTAAGTCGGTCCTATTGACCGGTTTAAACCACATGTTATCAGGCTTTTAGTTTTGGAAAATAACGTAAGCTTGAATTGGGAATTTTTTTTAAAACCCTCTTGGCCATGTGGCATAGTGCAAGACCCCTGTTAGTGGTTTCCCTCTCAGTGTGGGGGATGTGGTGGTACCCACCTTGATGGTGTGGGGAGTTGGCTGTTGCGTGGCATGGCAACAGTTCAGCAATGCATGCAGTAGATATTGTTTCTGCCTGGCACTCTAACTGAGATTTTGATGAGTACACTAGAAAGCATTTCCATCACTTAGGGAAAGCCCATCCAGTAGCGTGTGTAGGGCACTACAATGTTTTCCCCCTTTGTTCGCCTATGCTGACATTGCTTCTTCCCTTCAGACAATGTTGATTCCTCTAGATTTCTCCCTGCATGTATTTTCCTCCTCTATTGCTATGGGTGTGTCAGTTTCTGTTGTGTGAAATACTGTGTAGTCTGTGGTTTAGAATGATGCATGTTAAGCAGACTCAGTCTATTAGGTTGGGCTGCATCAGCTCTCAGTTCTCCTCCTCTGCCTTCCACTTACACTATGCCAAGTGGCCAACTGCAACGCAATGGGATTGAGTATAACCTTCAGCAGCCCATTTAATACTTAAAAAGGCCTGCTCTAGATCATAATAACAAGGTGGCAAACAGTTGTAAGCACACATCTCCATTAAGAGCTACATCTACGTGAGAATGTGTCCTGACGATGGACCCATTTCATCTTTCATTCCACTTCTCATTAATATTTCACCGCAGACACTGTCTCCCTATTGCCATTTTTAGCAAAGAGGCAGTAATCCTTTGGAGGCATCCATTATTTAGAAATGTGTGTTTGAGGTATTTAAACCATGACGTTAAAGTTTTTCATTTTCTTAAAAGTTACCTTTGGTGTCTTTGAAAGATTAAGAGAGATTGAGCAATCGTGTCTATTTTTGTAGTTAATAGCTCGGTGTACTGTGGTAGACATGGCATGAATCTTAATTATGGATGACAATTTGGATCATATCTAATGTTCCCCAGGGAGATAAAGTGATTGCTTCTTGTCTCATCTGCCCTCTG